CATCCGGAGTCTCGCGGCGCCCCCGCCGCTCTGCCAGCAGCGTGGCCTCCCGGTTCCCAGCCTCCCGGCCTGGGGGGCCCCCCACCCAGCGGAGTCGCTGACCCGACTGCTCTCCGGCTGCCCCCAGCTGTGCTCAGGCCGCTGCAGCCTCGGCGCGCCCCCACCCCGCTTCCTGCCTCAGCAACTTTGCCCTGGCCGGGCGGCCGCCCTAAATCGCACCCGGTTCCTTCCTTCCTTCATTCTTTCAGGCAACTCGCATTCCTCGAGCGCCTGGGACATGCCCCACACAAGGCCTCTCCGACCTCATGAGTGTGGCCCCAGGCCCACCGGCAAGCCTCTGCCCTCCACCCCAGCCTACCTCCCCACCCCGCCTCAGTCTCTCCTCTCTGATGTCCTATTTCACGTACTGAGTTTAGCATTTAATTGTTTTCGGATTATTTTTCTTATGAAGGGTCAGCCAGTGGCAGGGCCAGGGGCTCGCTTTGTGACCCAAATCAGGGGTAAGTGTGAAAGTAGGGTAAGGGGTCAGAGTGTGGCCAGAGTTGGGGTTCATCCAGACTGTGGCAGTGTTTGGGGATGAGTGTGGGTAGATGCTGGCAGCAGTCTGTGCTTGGAGTTAATAGGGTGTGAGGCTTAGTCTGAATAGGATCAGTGGCCAAGGGTAGTGAGTCAGTCTTTGGGTAGGTTCAGTGGACAGTTGGGATCAGGGTAGTGGGTCACCCTGAGACCAGGATTTTTGGGTTGCCTTTGACAAGCTAGATAAGAGGAGGGAGCACTGGTAGCCCTCTGAACTCAGATTCACCTCTCTCCATGTCTGAGGGCTGACCATAGCTTCCCAAGTGGTGAAGCTGACTTGCCATCTGGGGACACCACTTTGCTCTTACTTTGTGCCAGAAGCTGAAGGGAGAAGCCTTCACCAGGCCAGATTGTGGTCAGGGGGAGGCCAGACTGACAGTAACACTGGCCATATAGGGCAGTCTTAGGCTTCCGGGGACCCAAACCTGGTGCCATCCATGTTTAACAGGTAAGTTGATGCTCTTCCCTGTACCTTCTGTCATTTGTTCATAAATCTAAAGCCTATCAGGCATAGAAGGGCTCTTAGAGGTCACAAGTGTGGCCCAGAATGGGGAAGGAACCTGCTCAGGGAGACACAGCAAGTTAGTAGAGGACTCAAACCTAAGCTTCCTAGATTCCTACCTAGGGCTCTTTTTGTGATACTGTGTCTACCCTGAGCAGGGATTGTTCTTCCCACTTTAGAAATGGGGCAGCTGAGGCCTCACCTATAGCTCTCACAGAGGGGCTGCAAGGGGCTGGTGGACCGCACAGCCCCTCACCCTGAGGATCTGAAAATGTGAAGTCAGGGATTGTTGATTCTCTCAAGCATCGTCTCCTTGTCATTGCCACTCAGCCCCCTCCCTCCCATCCTCATTAGGAGCAAATGAAACAAGGGTGGCCAAGCATGAGTTGGAAACCAGGGAGGGGGAGAAAATACTTTTAAGAACTGCTGGGGAAAAGCTTAGCTAGGTTCTTATGGAAGCATATGGAACTCATTACCCTAAGTCGAGGTGGTCGCTGGCCAGCTGGCAGTTGGTTGGTTTGGGGCTAAAACTGTGTTTTGTGTGGCAGTGTGGGTACCCATGGCACGGCAGACTGCCCAGAATAACCTGCCCACTCACTGATCCAGGTTCTTCCTACACTTAGTTTTGTTTCAGCCTATTCCACTTCTAGCCTCAGGAAAAAAAGGGTTTCAAGACACACCAAGATATGGGATA